CTACTCCACTCACTTGATACTGCCTTGCAAGATACTACATATCCTGTCTGGCATGAGACATGGTGAGAAAAATGAGAGAGAGAGAAAGAGAGAGAGAGAGAGAGAGAGAGAGAGAGAGAGAGAGAGAGAGAGAGAGAACGAGAGAGAGAGAGAGAACGAGAACGAGAACGAACACCCTGGTCGGTCAGTGCTTGTGCTGCCCCATTACCAGCTCTTTCCGGAGCCTGGCCAGCTCCTCCTTCTTCTGTTCCTCTTCCTGCTTCCTGGCCTCCTCCAGCCGCTGAGCTCTCTGGGCTTCCAACTCTGCCATTCTTTTTTCCCACTCCTGTCGCTCCTTGGCTCTCTTCTCAGTGGCCAACTGGAAAGGTTCCTGAACTAGAGAAGCAGAAAGGCCCTCTGAGTAGAGAAACAGAAAACACTAGCATGCAAGCAGTAATTCTACTACCAAGCTCCACCCACCCCGGACTGAGCTACATGGCAGAGCCATGGAAGGTAACAAAGGCAGAGCTCTGAGGAAACCCATTAGAAAAAAGGTGGGGTCACAGAATCTTAACAGGTGAAGGGCCCCTGGAAAAATTTAGTGTAAATGGAAGAAAAGCAAGACCCAGAGGTAAAGTAGCTTGCTGAAAGCTACAGTGATTTTTAGGCAGATGATGAAGAATCCTACCCTTTATCTCACTGTCCTGTGTATATGTACTACATCTAAAACTTGCTACTCACTGCACGGACAACTCCAAAAAGCCCTCCCAGCCTCCCCTCGTCACTTGCTCTTCAGGTGAGGGAGCTGATTACCCCTGAGGAAGAGCAGCTGGTTATACCCAGGCTCCTGCTGCATCCATCTGGATACAGCACACCTGCTAGATGGACACAGTCACTAAGGTCAACAACAGAAAAGACTGGATCTAGGGGAAAGAAAAGCCTTGGTCCTCTAAAGTCACTCACTTCCAACCTACCCACATTGTCCTGAAACAACTGAGGACTGCACTCCCCAGGGAGGCTCACAGTCCTGCCTCAATCCCCAGAAGTGCAGAGAATACTACCAGAAACTGATTTTTTTTCTTTCTTGGGAACAAAGGGCTCTTGGGAGGTGACCGTGTTTGGACGAGCCTTGAAGCAAGCTGCTGCTTTCTGCTGTCTCAGTTCTTCCTCCAGCTGTTAGGAAGAAAGTCTATCAGGTGAGTTTACAACCTCTCATCACTACTACTGCAGTTAACTCCAGTTCTAACGCTTCTGAACTGCTGTGTAAATAAAGATAGCAGATGCTTTATGATAAAGAGTAGCTAGCCCCCCACCCAGCATTATCTGTACCCAGACAGAATTAGCAACTATTTTCAAACCACCCCCTCATACACACACACACACACACACACACACACACACACACATATATATGCATATATATATACACACACACCCCATATACACTCCCCAGGACAGGGGCATCAAACCAAAGGCCTCTACACTAAGTTACACATGGCCAGTCTTTTTTAAAATTTTATAAGCGTTTTTTAAATGTTGAGACACAGTCTCCTTATGTTGCCCAGGCTGGGGTAGAGCTTGTGTCCTCCTGACTTGGCTTCTCTATTATTTTTCTGTTTTGTTTTGTTTTATGAAACAGGATCTGGTACAATCCAGACCAAATATGAGCCATTATGTAGCCAAGGCTGGCTTCTAACTCTCAGTCCTCCTGCCTCAGTTGCCCAAGAGCACATTACAGCTGTGTGCTGCCACATCCAGCTAAGATGTGTGTTAAGGCCCATGTTAACCATCACAAAAATAAACAACTGCACATTCTATGCCTCTGTGTGTGACTAGGGACCATGACCATGCACTATCGCCAACATTTTTCCATCCCAAAAACCAAACCAGTATAAAAACTAAGATTCAATCAAGCCTCCAAATCTGCCTGCTCATTTGTAGGAAATATGGGAGCCAGAAACACTAACCATCATCATGGGGATGCAGTCAGCAAAGCCTAGAGTGGAAAACCTCCATGATGCAGTTTGTTCAGCAAATACCATACAAAGTCTACTGAATGAAAGAATCTTGGAGATTTAGCAAACAAATGCACAATATGAGCTTTACTTAGATCTTGGATTTTTTTTTATATTGATTTAAACAACTGGAATTCAAATTTATAAGGAGGCTGTTGCCCTCTGCCCCCTGGCTGGCACGTGTGCAACCTTACTGTGCTCTTCCAGCCATGTGAGCCCAGGAGCTGGCCACAGACGAAGTCCACCAAAGCTGGGGGCCAAAGTGAGCATCTCCTCCTTGAACGAGTGGGTGCTGGATGCTGTGTCCCACAGTGGGAAGGTAACTGACACAGAGCAATTCCTACAAGCAAGGCTTAGCCCACAGCTCCTTTTGGACAGAGTCTACAATAAGTGATGACATGAAAATACCAACAAAAATTTGAAGAAAGCTTTCCAGTTGGACAGAATTAGATCTCAATTAAACTGACCAATAGCCAATCACCTGGCTTTGTTTGTATTTGTGTGGTACTAGGGCTTGAGTCCACAACTGAACTATATCCCCAGATCTCTTTTTTCTGTGACAAGTTACTAAGTAACTCAGGTTGCACTCAAGCTTGCAATCCTCCTGCCTCAGCTTCCCCAGGTGCTGGGATTATGGGTGTGTGCTACTACATCTGGCTCCGGGAAATTGCTTGTAATTACTTGGTAGCTATAAAGAGTAAGTATATTCCATGCCATGCTGAGAAAACAGCCTCCTATAGTAAGAACCTGTTCTCCGGCCCTGTTACTTCCCAGAACACCAATACAAAGAGTAAACACTACTAGTATTTAGTCTACCAGTCGGCTTGGATGAGATCTTTAGAGAGACTGATATGAAGAGCTGCAGTTTTTATGTCTCCCAAGTGGTCACTTCAAAAAAACTGCTGGGGAGATAGCTCAGTAGAATAAAGCGCTTGCCTGGCAAGTGCAAGGGCCTGAGGGCCTGAGTTCAATCCCCAGTTCCATTAAGAAAAAAAAAAAAAAAAAAAAACTGTTCTCATCCAGCCCTGGAGCTAAGGATGGCTTATACATTTTTTAAAGGGATGAAAACACACACATGCAAGGAATATGACAGAGGCAGAGGCCATGTGTAACCAGAAAACCTAAAATATTTACTATCTGGTGCTTTCCAAAACAAAGTGCTGAGCCCTGACTTAGGGTACACTGAGATAACTGAGGACACATTCCAGGTGACTTTCAGGGCCACCACCATTCAAGGCTGCTCTTCCTCCACCCACCTGGAGCTTCCATGCCTGAGCCCTCTTAGCACCGATCTTGTCAGTCTCCAAGTCAAACGGCTCAACTTGGGTCACATTCTTTATCTTCTTCTCTGGCAGGTTAATGCAATCAAAATGAGGTATGGGACGGGCCTTAAACTTGGGTACCTAATGAAAACAAACAAGACATGTGACTTAAGAGAAATACTTCCCCAGCCAGAAAGCAGCAGTTGCTCCAGAATACATGGGTGAATCTGAACAAACAGGGGTGACCAGGGTTCAAACCAGTGCAGTCCAACAGAAGAGAGTAATGGGGCCTAAAAGGAAAACTCGGTTTTCCTCCCCATGTGGCTGACAACCGGCAATGTGATCAGAGGCAAGTTAGCTGACCTCTTTGAGCTAAAAGATTTGAATTATTTGTCCTATTTATATCTTAAACAATTCTTAGAAGGCTCAAAGGAAGGAGCAATTTTAGTCAGGTATTACATGAAAGGTTACCCAGGAGGGATAAAAGAATGTTATGCTACTAGAAGAAATGGAAACAACTACCTCCCCTTTCTGCAACTCTCTTATTTTCTGCTCCTTCTGTAACTGGCGTTCTTTGTCCCGACAATCAAAGGAGAAAGGGTGTATTTCTACAGTTCTTGCTTCAGGGATTCGGGGCTTAAAAGGCACCCCATAATGTGGCACAGATCGAGCTCTCATCACTGCTGCTTCATCCTCTTCCTAAGACAGAAATCCAGTTCAGAAATAAGACTTCTCACACTCTCCCCTATTCCTGCAGCCATGCAATCAGCAGATGCTGCACAAGACATGTCACTCGGATGCAGGTCTGGTTTCCTTTTTAGCAAACAAGGACAACGGCAGAATCAGCTGCCACACCACAGGGCTGAGGGCAATGAGAAGCCTTTAATGAGGGACCAACAGAGTTAAGGTTTTTTACAGAAACCCTGGAAGACCTTAATGAAGTGAGTCAGCAGAGAGATAAAATGATGACTAGAGGAGACGCCTAGCCAGACAAACACCCTCACTCCGTCCTGGGCCCATCTCCAGACTGCACTGTAACCCATGACTGGAGTTAGCAGTGGCCAAACCCAGAAGAAGACAGTCAGCTGTTTCTGTTCAAACTAGTAACATACTCTGTGTATTTTAGTTTCCAGCAAACCTATAAAAGGCTTTGCTGGAGATCTGCTATAAATATACCCTAACTGTGGGATTTTTATCTATAAATAGGAGGTAGAATACGAAGTGAGTACATCAATGACAGTCTGAGTTACAGTTCCAGGAGCCATCACCACACAGGCACCTTTCCATCCTTTTGACATCCTATTAATGGCGACAGCATAGGCAGCCAGAACTACTCATTTTAAAAGTCCCATACTGAATAGTGACAATAACGCTGACAAAATAAAGTACAGGGCTTTGCAACTTACTGTCAAAGACAGGCTGATTTCAATGCTACAAAACAGACAACCTTCAATGCCGAAATCTTCCACACTCCTTCTATAAACTGTAAATGGTTATTACTGAGATCCAGAAGATTTTTTTTTTTTTTTTTTTTTTTTTTTGGCAGAACCAGGGATTGAACTCAGGCCTTTGCTCTTGCCAGGGAAGTGCTTATTCCACTGAACCATCTCCCTGGCCCCTATCAAGAAGATTTGCACCTTATCAACTACTTTGTTCTCAGAGTAGCAAAATTGATGATCAGATGTTTATGTTATTCTTAAAGATAATACCAGAAAGAGCTGTTGTCTTTGACCTCCATTAAGTTTAAGAAATGGTAAGGCTTGAGGAGTAGGGGGAGCATGGTGGCAGAATTTTTGCTTAGCATGCATGAGACCTTGGGGTTCATTAAAGATCGGGGCCAGGGAAGGAAAGGAGCAAGAGGGGAGGAGGAGACCTCCTTAGAAAGAAATGGAAGGGTTGGCCAGATAGCTCAATGGACTAAAGTACCTGCTTAGGCAAAGCGCAGCAGCCAGGGTCCGATGCCCAGCATGCGATGCTGGCCCCGACCCTGGGGCACACTGAAATGGTGATTGAGACTGGACGTGGTAGCGTGTGCCTGTAATCCCAGCACTTGGGAGGCTGGAAACAGGAGAATTACTAGGAGTCTGATCTATGTAGTGAGACCCTATAGACCCTGTAGGCCCTATACTAATACAAAAAAAAAAAAAAAAAAAGGAAATGGAACTCACCTCATCTGCTTTGGTGGGCAAGTGGATTCTGTTCCTCCTTTTCCTCCTTTTCCTCCGTGCAAAGCCTGGAGCCTTGGGGACGGTGAGTGGAAGGACTTTCTTTTCAGGAATATCCTGCAGGGCAACACAGCTCAATTAGACTTCCCAATGCCCTCTCCTCTCCAAGAGGAGCTCATGCATCATGACAATGGACCTTACCACTCCTGACACACAGAGGTGGTTCCGCATGGATACCAACACCCACAGATGTTCAAATCCCTTCCATAAAATGGGGTGTTGGTTGCATACAACCCGCCCACATCTGCCCTGCAGACTTAAGTCATCTCTAGGCTCTTTTCCTTTTCCTCTCTGTTTTTGTGATAGGGTTTTGCTATGCAGTTCTGGCTGGTCTAGAACTCACGCTGTAACCCAGGCTTGGCCTCAAACTGCTGTGATCCTCCTGCCTCGGCCTTCCAAGTGCTAGGATTATAGGCATCCACCACCACCCTCAGCCAATCTAGGTTCTTACAGTAACTAATACACTATAAACATTCATGTACTTATACTGTATTATTTTGGGAATCATGACAAGAAAAAGTCTACATGTTCAGTACCAATGTATTTTTTCCCCACAAACATTTCTGTGCACAGCCAGTTAAATCTGCCCATGAAGAATCTGCAAATGTAGGGTGGGCTGACTGTGCATATATAAAACTTCACTATACTCACTTAGACATTCACCTCCCCTTCCTAGCTTACGAGTTCTTCAAGGATGGGCACTATTTTATCCCAAGCGCTGAACACAGACCTTGGCAAGTGTAAGGCTCTGTCTATTAAACAAATGCAGGATGAACCAACACATCAGAATTTATACCCTGGACTCTCAGAGGACACTCTTCAGGGATTCTTAATCCCAGCAATGCTGCAACTGCTCAAAACATGTATGGAATGTCTTTCCTGAGGTGCCTTTCAAAGCTACTTTTCGGACCATGTGTAAGACAATTGTGCAGTCTTTACCTTTAATGTAACAAAATTGTTTCTGCCTCTATCTTTTACTACTTGGAAGTTTTAGTTAAAATATTTTTATAAATCTCTAGTAAGCAAACCATGAAGGAGGTGTCTGTGAGTGGACCGACTCTCAGAATTAACCTAGGTCAAGAGAAAGTATGCCTAATAATTATCGCTGCGGCAGATGATGCACCCCAGTCCCACTGTAATCCAGCCCACTGAGGCCTCAGCCTGAAATCAGAAAAGGAAATCAGGCTCCAGAAAGAGAAGCTTCTCATCATGGTATCCTAAGTCTCAGGAGCTCCTACGAGGCCCAGAGGCTGCCTTGTCTTCTCCACAGTACCACAGGAAGACCGGAGAGTAACTACACACGCGCTGGTTGTCACTGCTGCACAGGTGTGCTGACAGTCTGCAATACCAGCTGCGTGAGCTGTGAGGACCAGGGTTATGTCTGTCCCACATCTCAATTCCCGGGGCCTAATAAGCTAGAAACACATGCTGGTGTGTGTCAGTGTGCACCGTCACTGTGCCATCCCAGACTGGGTGTCAGTGCCGAGGGTTCACTGTGCAAGGTGCTGGGGACATAGAGTGAGCAGTGCATATACACAGGGCCATGTCCTCAGGGAATTCCACATTCCAGTGGGAAAACAATGAGGAAGTAAATACTTTCTAACCTTGCCGCTAAAAGCTATTCGAGAGATTGCGGTACAATGCTGTGAAGAAGGGACATGTGGTCAGAAGTGGGTGGGGTAGGTAGGTGGACAGAAGGCACAAGGAGGAGAAGCAGTAGTTTTATAATATATATTTTATATACAGGAAAACTATGACTCAGAGAAAAGAACTCGTTTAAGACTTTTGTAACAATCATTTGGAGTCACTGTGTTTTGGTGCTGTGGATTCAGCCCAGGGCCTCCTACGTGCTGAACCAGAACTTTACCATTGAAGTGCATGGCAGCCAGCAGTCATCTGGCACCTTGCTTTCAAAAACATTTTTTCTCTGCTTTGTCCCCTCCTGTTTTTTGTCTTTTTGAGATAGGGTAAACACAAGGCTGGGCATAGTGGCACATGCCTGTATTGCCAGCAGTCAGGAGGCTATGGCAAGAGGGCTGCTGTGAGTTCAAGGCCACCTGAACTACAAAATGAGACCCTGTATCTAGGGCAAAAACAAACAGAAAACTTCCTCCAGCACCAATAAAAAACTAAAATGAACATACAGAGGTATTGGCAGAAGGCCCTGGGTTTACTTCCCAGTAGTGTAATGGATGGATGGATGAATGGCTAGATGGGGTAGATGGGTATCTAAAAATATGTGCCTGCTTTCTGGCTCCAGAACCTAAGGATTCCATAGAACCTACTTTTGCCCTATCATACTCAGAACCTTATTCATTAAGGATACAATGACAAAGATAGCAACAGCTCAACTCTTAGAGAGCAATCACACAGGTGTGGGGGTGGGGGAGGTTCTTCAAGTGTGTTGTTAACAGGATTTGGTTTGTCAAACCTATACTTCATGCTGGTCATTTACTTGCCATTCCAGTATTTATCTTATGTTTTACTCTTAGTACTTCTTTGTTATCATGAAAACCTTTTCTTAGTTCAATTGTTTTGAAACATTTAAAGTATATTTCCATTTTCTGTTGACTTAAAAAAAAAAAGAGGTTTGTACCTATGTTGTTTATTATTTCTTGCCTATTATCTTGTAATATGAGAAATTACTTTGGCAGTAACAATACACAATGTACTAACCATTGTTACTCTCTTAAAATCTTGTTTTGAGATTTTGTACCATTGTTTTTACTTTTTTTCTTTAAAATAAAAATAACTGATGTCAAAAAAAAACACAAAAAAAATAAAGTGAAAAAAACAAAATACAAAAACAAAAAAAACCTGTACTTCAGAACAAAAAAAAAAAAAGGCAGGAGAAGCATTGTGGACAGAAGAGAGGTATCTTTTTTTTTTTTTTTTGGTTCCTCGAATGCCTTCAGGGCACTTTTGACCAGCGGGAGAGTTGTGAGGTTCGAACTCCAGCAATCTGAGGCTGACAGCTTTGTGGAAGCAGCCACTTAAAGGCCTGAGCTAGGGCCAGACCCCCAAGAGGTATCATTTTAAGAAAGCTTTCAACTGAAAGAGGATATGGGGAAAGAAAAATTTCTAGACATAATCACGAATTTTGTAAGGCCTGGGAACTATAACTGTGACTTACTGCTAAGGACACAGGGTATGCAAAACTAGGTATCTGGTCAGAGGTAATATAATGTGGTTTCACCAAAAACCACAGCTGACTAAAACAAGCAGAAGAGAACAGTAGGCTGAGTGTCACAGCGTGGACACAAGCCACAGCCACTCAGGAGGCTTCTGCAGAGGAGCATACGATCCTAGGTGCTTGAGGCCACCCTGAGCATCTCACAAAAATAAAGCCAATGACAACTGCATAGCTCATATGAAAACATGTGTAACATCTTATGTGAGTGTGGGCCTGTGGCGCCCATGGGGGACCTGTCACCAGTCCCTCAGATGCAGGTGGGTGACTACACAGGGAAAGGGCATAAAGCAGTGCTGATACAGAGTACAAGTGTCAGTTATCAGGACAACAGCAACACAAGAGGACAACTAAACTGCCACAGCTCAGAGCAAATGCTGCCTCCTCCACAAACCTTCTACCTGGAAGAAATCTTTTTCCTCTGAATTTGTAAAGCACTTTAAACAGGCAGCTCTCTCAAAATGCTTCTGGCTATCTCATACTGTTTACATCATGCTGTCTCCATCACTGGACTTGAAGTCCTAAGCACAGAGACACTTCTGTACATGGTATTTCATCATCTCGACCTCCTCACATGAGGACGCCCTGCTCCTAGGTTCCCACTGTGCAGGACAGTGGGGGGAGGGGCGGGGGGCTTCCACCAACACACGCAGCCGCAGCTGCTCTTACCACAGCTCCTCCCGAAGCCTCAGGCAGGCAAGGTCTGGCCTGAAATTCAAAGTGTTCATCTTCCGATTTCTTCTCTGACCCCTGCTCCTGGATGATTTTCTCAATATCCGAATCAATGCCAAGAGGCTGGGTGGGTGGTTTCACAGGTGGTCTCTTCAGCAAGACAGGCCCACCTTCAATTCTGGGATCTACTGCTGGTGCTTTGAATGTGCACCTGCAAGGTGGAAGTTTAAATAACTACAAAACAAACTTAAATGATAAATAGCTGGGGAGATAGCTCAGCAGAATAAATGCTTGCCTGGCAAGTGCAAAGGCCTCAGTTCAATCTCTGGTACCACAAACAAACAAAACCACTTATTTGAGACTGGGAGTGGTGGTGCACGCCTCTAATCCCAGCTCTTAGGAGACTGTAAACAGGCAGATCACTACAAGTCTGATGTAGTAGTAAGACCCTGTACACCCTGTAGACTCTTCCTAAAAATATAAAAAAGAAAACTAATAAGCAACAAACTGGAGCAAAAACAAAAACTAACAATCATTGAGATGATCCATCATACACAGTGAAATTAGGCAGCAGAGCGTTGTCTTTACCCCTATGAAGAGAATAAAGGAGACAGCCTGAACACAGTCCAGTGAGGAAATGCCTCCTCCCCAAAACAAAAGTGCAGTCCATGTTATTCCAGTCCGAAGTCAGAAGGCTGGGCCAGGGAGATGGCTCAGTGGAATAAGCGCTTCCCTGTCAAGCGCAAGGGCCTGAGTTCAATCCCCCATTCCACCAAAAAAAAAAAAAAAAAAAAAGTTTAAAAAAAAATAAATAGAAGTCAGAGGGTTGTTAGCAGGTGGAGTGGTGGGAGTGGTGGCGCAGCCTATAATCCCCCCCACTCCCAGGCGGAGTTCCAGGCTAGCTTCAAGTACACAGTGAGATCCTGTCTCAAAAACAACCAAAACACAAAAAACATCAAGTGCTATCAAGGATGGGAGCACGAAGAGGAACCTTCTACCCTGCTGGTGGAAATGAAAATTTAGTATAGACACTATAGAATATGGAGACTCCCTCCAAACTGAAACTATAGCTACCATTTACTGGAGATATAACACTCCTTGCTTTATACCTGAAGTGATTCAGGTTAGGATACTATAGGGATGCCCACATGACCATGTTTCCTGAGGTACAAGAAGACATGTGATCATCCTAGGTATCCAACAGCAATGAATAAAGAAAATGTGCATATACACACAGTGCAGTATTATTCAGCCATAAAAAAGAGTCATTTGCAGAGAAATGGATGGCTGGGTGGTGGCATATGCCTATAGGCCCATCACTTGGCAGACTGAGACTGGAGGGTCTCCTTGAGTTCAAGGCCAGATGGGCTACATGGTAAATTCAGGGACAACCCAGCCTGAATTAAAACGCAAGGCCGTGGCTCAAAAAATAATCAAAACAAATAGTAGGGATTTGGAGACCATCAGTATTGAGCAAAATAAGTCAAACTCAGGAAGACAAACACCACATGTTCTAAACAATGACAAGAAAGAGGCTACTACACTGTTTCCCCCAAATAAGACCCAGTCAGAAAATTGCCCTGAAAGCTAGGGCTCAGAAACGCCAGTCCAACCAGCTATCCTTGACTTCCCTGCCTAACAGAGAAGAAAATGGGCAAGAACAGGGAAGGGAACTGGGAAAAGTAAAGCTGGGCTGTGGTTCCGCAGTGAGAACTTGACCAGCGAGTACAAGCCCTGGGTTTGATCCCCAGCACCCCAGAGCAGGCAAGGATGGGGAACAACAAATAAGAATGGGGGAAATAGTTACAAGAAATGCAACAACAGTGAAAACAAGGTGTAACAGAAAACAGATGTGGGTGTCAGATACCAATTCTGCCTTTCTTGTTCTGCCCATACAGACTTGAGAAAACTAACCTTAGTCTATTTTCTCCACTGAAAGTTGAGGAATCGTGCCTGCCTGGCAAACACAAGGTCCTGAGTTCAATCCCCAGTACCAAAAAGAAAGAAAGTTCAGGAATAGAAAATTTTTGCTTACAGAATATTTATGACTGAGATGACACAGTTTTTTGTTTTTTTTTTTTGTTTGTTTGTTTGTTTGTTTTTTCAGAATTGGGGATTGAACTCAGGCCATTCTACTGAGCTATCTCTCTGGCCCCTACACAGTTCTGAAGTGCTTGACCTACGTTTAAATTCAATACACAGCAGCCATTCTTGTGGGAAGAATATCACTAAGACCACTTAAAGAAGGAAAGAAAGAACTCACTAAAAGGAAATGGAAAAAGGAGGGGGGGCAGGGAGACAGCTCAACAGCATAAGCACCTGCCTATCACGCACAAGGTCCCGAGTTTGATCCCTGGTAACAGAAAAAGAAAAGCATGCAGTGCAGTGCTGGCCCCACACCTGGGGCACGCTGAGACTGTCATTGAGACTGGGCATGGTAGCACACCTGTAATCCCAGTGCTTGGGAGGCTGAAAATAGAGAATCACTACAAGTCCAATCTATGTAATGAGACCCTGTAGACCCTGTACTAAATACATTAAAAAAAGAAAAAGAAAAGCAATAGCTTAGCCATCTTGAGCGACAAGTACTTAAGTGCCATATATTTACCTTGTCCTTAGCCACAGAAGTACACGGGTAAAACCTGTGTCAACTAAGGTGAGTCACCCTCCACAATACAGGTAACAATTCTACTCTCCATAGTCACAGCTTAAGGAATTTCCCAAGCCCCAGGTGCCCCAGACTGAAGATGTACCCACTTATAATTCTACTTAGTTCACTCACAAGTTTAAATTCAGGAAAGAAATTTAACTTACAGGGGATATACAAAGCCAGAGTGTCCGCCCTTGGCAATAGGAAGTGTGTTCATTATGTGGGTAGGGTAGTGCACACATAATCCCAGTACTTAGGAGGCTGAGCAAGAGGATTGGCTTGAGCTCAAGGCCAGCCAGGGCTACAAGGTAAAACCCTGTCTCAAAAAAATAAGTTGTGTCTACTTACACTTTCATTTTTTTGTAAGGTGGAACTTCACTGATTACAGAAGTGGCACATCTCTTTGCTTTCTTGGGAACAGGGTGTTTTTCTTTCCTCTTCAAATCTTTCTGAGCCAGGACTCTAAGAGATATCCTAGGGTAGAGACTCTAATAAAATTTTTAGCAATAATAAACACATCTACTATAAATGTGCAAACTTCTTCAGAAATGCAAAAGTATGTCAGACTACAAAGAGCTACAAAAAATTTAGCCGGGGAAGATAAAGAGAATTGAGCTGCAGTATGCACATGCACCAACTCCCCATGGTGAATACAATCACTGTGTGCTGCAAACATGTACTAATAAACATTTTTAAAAGCTTTTAAAAATGTAGTTAATATCTACACTCTCAAAATCTAATCTCTTTGGGCCAGAGATATAACTCAGCAGCATGGCACCTGCCTGGCAAGTCCTCAGTTGAATTCCCAGTACCAAAAATTTATCTCTTGCTGATAATTGGACCTTAATAAAGGTGATCTAAAAGCACAAATAAGAAAACAGTTGGTGCAGTGAGGCAGACCTGTGCAAAAGTTAAACCTCTTAGAGAAAACATTCATTAAAAAACATGCATGTAGGCTGGACAGATAGTGCAGAGGTCTAAGCACCTGCTTGGCAAGCACAAGGGCTCAGGTTCGATCCTTGGTGCAGCATGCCATGCCCTGCCAGCCCTAAAACTGGGTGCAGTAGCACATGCCTCTATTCCTAGCACTGGGCAGGCTAAGACAGGAGTTCAAGCTATGTAGTGAGACCTTGCATCAAATAAATTAAATAAATAAATAAATAAATAATAAAAACATGTGTAGTACAGGTGCAGAAGGCGTTATATTGGCCAGATATGGTGATTCATGCCTATAACCCCAGTACTCGCACTTACAAGACAATCAGTAGTCATACAGGGCACGGTGGCACACAGCAGTAATCCCTGCTCGGGAGAGGGGGGTGGCCTGAGGCAGGAGGAGCCTGGGCTATCTATATAGCGAATTTAAGACTAGTTTGAACTACACAGCAAGATCCTGTCTCAACAACAACAACAAAATCAAAGGCAGGACTGGTGTGTAACTCAATGGTAGTGTGTGATTAGCATGCATGAGGTCTTAGATTCAATCTCCAGCACACAAAAATAATAATAAATAAAAGGCAAATGTAGGTTGAAAGTAAAAGGAAAGAAAAAGACTACACAAATTAACTATGAGAAAGCTTAATACTGAAAACCAGGCAAAATGGTGAGGGCCTGCAGTCCTACCTACTCAGGAAACTCGAAAAGAGGAATTTAAAGCCACCCTAGGAAGCAAAACAAGATCTCATCTCAAAAAAAAAAAAAAGAAGAAGAAGAACTGGGCGTGGTGGCACACACTTGTAATGCCAGCACTAGATGGGACTGAGACTGAGACAAGAGCATCACTGAGTTCCAGAGCTACAAAACTGGGCACAATGGGGCCGGGGAGATGGCTCAGTAGAGTAAGTGCTTGCCTGGCAAGCTCAAGGGCCTGAGTTCAATCCCCGGTTCCACAAAAATAAATAAATAAATAAACAAACAAACAAACAAACAAACAAACAAACTGGGCACAAGACCAGCCTGAACTGCATAGCGAGACCCTGTCTCAAAAAAAAAAAGTAAACCTAAGAACAAAGAGATCTGGCACTAGGAAGATGTGAAAATTATACCAGACTGATTAGGATTTGAATCGGGACCCTGCAGTGCACTTGCCCTTACTTCTGGACCCTTAGCTATAACGTCAGTGCACAGCCCACGGCTCCGAAGCACTCTCAGTCTGGACCGGCAGGAAGGTCTGCTCCACTGAGGCCATTTTTGTTGAAGCATCAGAAAGCATTTACAACATCACAATATTCATCAGATTGCTTTGCTTCAGCACATACATCAAGTTACTGAGTTTTAAACATCATTATTATATACACAACATCTGAGCACCCAAATGGTCTTACCGCTGTGGCTGGGCTGGAGTATCTCTTGATTTGACTCCTTCAACTTTCAGAGTGCAACAAGCATCTGATGAATTAGAATGTTCCATAAGATTTATGTTTTCTGCCTCTTTGTAGTAAATGTTCTGAACTGTGGGAGACCAAAATTAGCTCTCAAATCCCAAAGAAAATCTCCTTTGCTTATACGTTGAATGTGCATATCAAATTATCACACCCTACCCCATAAATAGGACAGTTATGTGTCAGTTTAAATGATGTTTAAAAGAACGACTTTGGTTGAAGCAGAAATCAAGTACCCATGGCCAATATCTGCTAGCCTTTTGCCAGCCTCAGAGATCATGTCAGAAAATCAGAAAGAAAGCTTTCCCAACACATCTTCATCACATTGTGGAACACCAGAACCCTAACAGAAATTTTGGAAGCTTTCAGAGAAAAGATGTCACTGCAAAACAAAACCAAAAAAAGCAAATCCACTACCAACCAACTTGACCTGAGATCTAACTATCCAGGCAAAGACTTCAGGTTCCACACTCGCTGAAGCACACGCAGGACACTTATCCAGACACAGTACACTGAGCCAGGGAAACATGTGTTGGTACGTTTAAAAGGATTTGAGTCATACAAAGTATGCCTCTGACCACAATGGCACTGAATCTGTGGAAATCATAAAAAAGATTTCTAGAAAATCCCTCTCAAATATCTAGAACAAGTCACCTACTTCTCAATAACAAATGGGTCAAAGAAGATTTGAAAGTAAAAATTATAAGTATTTTGAACGGAATGAAAATGAAAATTCAACACAGATTTGTTGGATGCCACCAGAGCAGTAGAAAGAGGCTTTCAAACCTAAGACTTTACCTGCCACGTTAGGAAAGTAAAACAGGGTCTGGGGATGCTAACAAGTGGACCTGAGCACAGGAGAGACCCTGGCTTCAATCCCAAACTAATTTTTCTAAAATTAATTTTTGAGCCAGGCATGGTGGCACATGCTTATACTCCCAGGACTCGGGTGGCTGAGGCAAGAGGATCATTGCAAGTTTTAGACCAGCCTGGGCTATAAAGTGAGCTTGGGGGCCAGCCAAATAGCTCAGTGGATTAAAGCGCCTGTAAGTAGGCTCACGGGCCAAGGGTTGGATCCCCGGGCCTGCTGAGCCCCTGCCGGCTCTACCCAGGGCGCGCTGAGATGGCAATTGAGACTGGGCATGGTGGCACACACCTGCAATCCCAGCTCTTCTGAGGCTGTAAACTGGTTGATTACTACAAGTCCAATCTAGTAGTGATACCCTAAACACCTTGTAGACTCTTCTGAAAAGTATGAAAACATGAGGTGAGCTCAAGGTCAACCTCAACTAGCTAAACCCTGTCTCAAAAAGACCAGTGGGGTTGGGGGGAGTTGTTTTTTTAGAAAAGCTGACCTATATAAGGTGGCATGTACCCATTACCCAGCACTCTGGGAAGCAAGCAGGAAAAGTGCAAGTTAAGGCAGCAGTCAAGGCTCAGGGGCAGAAAACTTCTCTACCATGTGCAAGGTCCCAGCTTCCTTCAATCCTCAGTGCAGGATGAGGGTACGTAAGATGTGGGGTAGTACTGGGGTGGGGGTAGAAATTCATAAAACAGACAACAGAAAATAGAAAAACATCAGTGAAATGAAAAGCAGGTTGAGAAGATCAGCAAAAATAGAAAAACATCAACAAAATGAAAAGCAGGTTCTTTGAAAAGGAAGATCAGCAACAGTAATAAAACCCTACCAAGATTGATCAGGAAAACACAAAAGACATAATTTACCAGTATTAGGAATAAGAGAACTGACATCATTATGAAATCTATAAATATGAAAATAGACAAAAAGGAAATATTATGAAAACCTTCTTGCATACAAATTCTTTTTAACTCATTATTTTCTACTTGTATGTTTTAGTACATGCTTGTGATACTTAGATAACACATTCATCTAATGAATTGGCACACATATAATTTGAATGACAATCTATTACAGCTTATGCGAAAAGATCTGTATCTGAGAGCTGGCTGATACAGCACATGCTCAGCACCCTGAATTCAATTTCTAGCTCCATCAAAAGACAAAGATCATCTATACCTGTTAAAACAATTGATTATTTTTATTTTACTCTTTTTTTAACTTTTATTCTGTTTCCTTATTTTTAATTTAAAGAGTAAAAGTACCAAAAAAAGACAGAAACAAAGTAACAACACATATGGTAGAGAATTTCAAAACAATAAAAATTTAACAATGGCTGTTGTATTACATATTTTCATTGTCAAATCTGTTATTCAGATCAATAGGTATGCAAGACTGGTCAACTAATTAAACCTTAACACTTACTTTCAAAAAACCTTAATTTTTTTCTTGTCCTCTTTTATTTTAAAGAGCGCATACTAATTGGTAAGACATAACAAACTCACTGAGAGAGAAATTAGAGAACTAATACCCTTCTTAAAAGCATCCCAAAAATGAAATATTTAGGAATTAATCTAACAAAGAAAGTAAACAGGGCCAGCCAAATAGCTCAGCAGCGTAAGTGCTCAGGGCCAAAGTGTTAGCTGTCCTTGCAGCCCTTCTTTTTCTCTAATTTTTGGTGTGCAAACTTCAGTTGTTAACCATCCCAAAGAGAAGCTTAATGATATTATTACCCTATAACATAGGCAGTTGAATATCAAATGTCTTACACATAAAATGGAACAGGTATTTTCCATCAAGTATTGACATGTTAAACTTTAAATCACTACAGAATGTGAAGAAAAGAATATACTTTAAAAAATAGGAATAAATTACATATTTTCACACCGAAATTTAGCAATCTAACCACATACAGCATTATAGCAGGACAGTCCCATGACATTATTTTCTTGTGTCTTATTTTGATTTATTACCTTTTTTCTAAACAAACATTTACTTGAGAGACAGTATGCAGTAATTGGTATGACATGACAAGCAGTACGTAGTGAGGATTCAGGACATAGGAAAACCTGTACTATAACATCCTGTAACTCAATAGTGTCCCAAATTTACTGATCAAGGAGATTATGGGGCCACAGAGGAAAGTGACTGATGATGCAGAGTGTGCCTAAGGAGAGTCACAGGGAGAGAAAACATTCTCTCAGACTTTCACAGAGAGCAAATGGGTCAAGTAATGGCCATGACTCATCCACATGGATGACACTGACAAAGGATCTACAAACTGCGGTACAGGGTTTCAGGGTAAATCCTGAGGAGATTTGATTGAACTTGGCAGATACAAAAGTTACATTTCTTGTTATATAGGTTTTGCTTTATCTTGGTCTTAATCATCCATCAGAAACATATAAAAATGAAGTATAAAAAGTAAAGCCATATTAACAGACTGAGCCGTAAAAGACTCAAGTCAACAACTTCTGACATTGCCAGTCCTATGGATGATCCACTACTAGTATGGACTATAGGACTATATTGGATTATTTTGCTGAATTCACATACCTACAATATTTAAATGGCAATGAAATACCCATCTCTGACAAAACTAAACAAAAAAAGGGGATATAAATGGAGGGCTATTTTGTATCTGTATATACAAAATAGTTAGGATAGGTATACAGCTACTTTCTCTTAATTCAATGAGAAGAAAGATTTGTACTAATAGTATTTGGGCAGGATATGATGTCTGCATTTTGTACTATGAAGAACCACTATGAAGACAACAATATGCAATGTATTAATTATTGAAGCTGTCCTACTAATTGGTTTTGAAACTGTCTCATTGCTGTTTGTCTCTAAATAAAAGTAATAAAACAGAAAATAGCTCAGCAGATTAAAGCACCTGCAAGAAGATGTAGGGGCCAGGGGTTCGATCTCCTGGCCTGCTGTGCAGGCCCTGCCCCCGGGGCACTGTGAGATGGTAACTGAGACTGGGCGTGATGGCATGCACCTGTAATCCCCGCTCCTGGCAGGCTGTAAACAAGTGGATCACTATGAGTCCAATCTAGTAATGAGACCCTGAACACCCTGTAGACCCTTCCCTAAAATTAAAAAAAAAAGGAAAATAAGTAAAAGATCTATACAATAAAAATTATAATATTCTGAGAAAAAAAGAAATTAAATAGGATTTCAGAAAATGGAAAGATAATCCTGGCTCCTGGATAGGAAGAACCAACATTATGAAAATGGTTTTGGTCCCAAAATTGCTATACAGACATAATGCAATCCCTATCAAAATATCATCAATATACCTCAGAGGTCTAGAGAAAATATTGCTAAATTTGCAATCTGAATTAATTTTTTAAGGAACACAAAATAGTTTAAAAAAAACATTAGCAATGATACAAAATTTCATTGAACAAAGTAATAGGAATTGAACAATAGTGGCTGCATTGCATGATGTTATTTTCAAATTAGTTGTTTAGGTTACCAGATATAACTCTGCAAAATTGGTTAAAAACAAAACAAAACAGCAAAAATTTTATAAGAAATTTTTTTAAAAATGAAAAGAAAAAGAAAAAAATTTATTTATTACCCTTTAAAAAAAAAAAGACAAGAATAGAAAAAAAAATGCCACAGGTCTATCCTGTTACAATTCTGTATATGGTTAGATTTCTAAATTTCTTTGTAAAAATATGTAAATGCTTATTTCTACTTTTATTTTTCCTTCATATTCTGCAAGGACTTAACATTCAACATACCAATATTTGATGGAAAATACCTGTTCCATATGCCAAAGACGTTTGATATTTAGACAGATAGGGTAAACCAAACTGCATATATTGCAGGTTAATAATAAGCTTCTCTTCTGGAGGGTTAACAACCTAAGTTAGCAGTTCAAAATTGGAGAAAAGGAAGGGCTGCAAGGTCAGCCAACAATTTGGCCCTAGCCTTTCAAGGTCAGAGAAAACTCAGGATATAGGAGAACCTGTACTGTAACATGTAACTCAGTTGTGCTACAAATTTTCAGATCAAGAAGATTATGGAGCCACAGAGGAATGTGACCAATGATGTAGAGTGTGCCTGGGGAGAGTCACACGGAGAGAAAAAACATTCTCTGGCTTTCACAAAAAGCAAACTGGTCAAGCAATGGCCGTGACTCATCCTCATGGCTGACACTGACAAAGGATCTACAAAGTACGGTACAGGGCTACAGGATAAAATCCTGAGGGTACTTGACTCACCTTATCAGATACAAAAGTTACATTTCTTGCTATATAGGTCTTGCTTTATCTTGGTCTTAACCATCTAACAGAAAAGTATAAAAACGAGGTATATAAAGCCATATTAATATGATGAGCTATAAAAGGCTCAAGTCAATAACTTCTGAGGATAACCCACTAATATTATAGACTCTTAGACAGAATTGGATTGTTTAGCTGAATTCAAACACCTATAGTATTTAGATGCCAATAGAATATCCACCTCTGACAGGACTAAACAAAAAAAAAAAAAAGGGGGGGGGGGATACAAAGGAAAGATCATTTTGTGTTTATATATAGAAAATAGGCTAGATATATAACTACTTCACTTAATTCAATGAGAAGAAAGAAGTGTACTAATAGTGTTTGGACACGATATCCTGTCTCCTTCTTGTACTATGAATAACCACTAATAAGATAACAATGTACAATGTACTGATTATCGAAACTGTCCTATTAATCAGTTTTGAAACTGTCTCATTCATATTTCTCAATAAAATTAAAATTAAATTTAAAGAAAGAAAAAAATTTGAACATTAACTATTCCTTTCAAAAGACCAGCAAATATAAGTAGTACAATTATCCAAACTATCCTGCATATATACATAAGTTACATAAATATCTTTTTCCCTTCTTTCTTTTGTCCTTTTCCTCATCCCAATTTTGCCCTCCCATTGAACAAATTCTTTCTCTCTCACAGTATCTATTGTATCTAAGCAATTGAATTTTAAGTCAAAAGGTTTCCTGCAATGAAAATGACAGGCTGAGATTACTCCCCTACTTAATTCTCCATGCAAAAATTTAAGACAGACATCCACTCCTCACAAATTCCTCTAAAAAACTGAAAAGAGAGTATTTTTTAGCTCAAACTATAAAGCAGATTATCACACAAAAACAGCCAAGATTCCCTTATTTAAAAAAATGCAGAATTCTTTTAATTTATCAAACTGAACTGAAAATGATGCCAGCCATAATGTCCCACACTAGCAGAACCCAGCATTCCTGGAGGTTGAAACAGAAGGATCCCACATTCAAGCCCAGCCCAGGCAACTTAATGATTAGCAAAATGTAAGGTTTTTCCTTTGGGGCAAGTGAGAAACAGGAGAAAAATAAAAGAACCCTTTACTGCCCAGCATGGGAGGCCTGCTAAAGAGCAGGAAGAACCCTCAGAGGAGGGAGCTGGGAGTGGGGTTTTTATCAGGGTGATTAGAGGTGGGTATTTACACAGGCAGGCAGAGTCAAATCAGGAGAGAACTGAAGGGTCACTGGCACACACAGAAAAGGAGACAAAAGTGTGAAAATGAGACAAAAAGCTTATTTTGGGACTAGAAGAACACAGAAGTTGCTCTGGGAGTGACACTGTTTTGGGGCCCAACATCACATTGGATCACCTGCCATGATGACCCTGGCAGAGTTCCATAGGAAACCCGTCATTTCCCTTCATATTCACTGTGAAATGAATTAGTCCATCTTACCAAGAGATACAGCACTGAGGAAATTTCCTCACTCCTCAGGTTCCTAAGACACTGCCCCACCTTCCCGTCAAGGAGCTGTTTTCTATGATTTTCTTTCTTACCTGGTTGCAAAGGTATGTGACTGGCTTGCTGAAGATTTGCTTTCCTCAAGGGAGTTTTGCTCGGCACCATCTCTCCTGACCCATTTTTCCCAAGGAACATATTGGCCTTCTCCTCTGTGAAAAGACAATGTTACCATTACCCAAACAGCAAAACAAATCAGCAACAGGAACTTAAAATGAGAGTAAGGGCCAGGGATATAGCCCAGTGGCTTAAGCACATGCCTGGCAACCACAAAGTCTTGAGCTGATCCCCAGTACAAAAAAAAAAAAAAAAACAACAACTAGACAGTAAAGCACCTTCCATCCAGGATTATTCCAACTCACGTACCAAAAACAAGAAAAATTTCAATATTTAAAAGAAAATTACTATATGTATTATATGTCAGAAGTAGACTCTAAAACATGGCAACATCAAACAACATGACAGACAAGTACCAATTCTACTTATGTGAATGGCTCCTTATCTTTACTGAAGGCACAAATCAGCCTACCCTCATCTACCCCCAAGGACATCCTGCTCCTCTCAAAGAAAAAAGCAGGGCCAGGGAGGTAGCTCAGCAGCATAAGCGCCTGCCTGGCAAGCGCAGGTCCTGTTCAATGTCCCACATTGAAAAAAAGAAGGCAAAACGCAGCTATCTTAGGCATAGATTACTCCTCAACCAGGCTGGTGAGTAGTGCAGGATGTATGAGAATGCAGCAGGGCTGGTTTCTCTCCTGCAGTGTTATCCTGCCTCTGCTGTGCCTGAAAGTCAGCACAAAACAGGAAGAAAAGTGCAGCCCACGAGCCAGACTTAAAGAGCCCAGCACAAGCACTCTGTGCAAGTGCGCTCACCTGCAGCCAGGAGGAAAGAGGAACCCATCTGGAAGACAGTGGGAGAGTGGTGCTGGAGCACAGGTCATTTTAAAGACCATGGGTAAAGTTTTTTCTTCCACACTGTAATTAATCCTATGATTATGCTAATATTTTATTTTTGCTTATTTTCTGTTCTTATTTTTTTAAACACTTGAAAAATAAATCCTCTGCATGTCCCAGGAAAGCCAGGGTTCAGCAAAGAGGTGTCCAAGACAGGGGACCCGCCTCTTTTCTTTTCCTCCCACACTACTTCCAACTGACTTGTGCTGTCGGAATCCCCACTGGATGCCCCAATGTCCTTTTGCAAGAAAAGGCAGACACCACCACACTTGGACACCATGCCATGAGTGATGGGCACAACTACGATGGAATCCTTTTTAAGGCCACAACTGAGGGCTTCTCTTCATATGGAAGAGAATGAGAAATACAATGAAAGGACCCCATCAACTACTGTTCTCATGCATGACCCCAAAGTTAAATAAAGACATAATCACATCCTTACTGTTGACTTGGTTTTAGGGTTTGTCCCACATCACAGAACCCAAAACACAAATCCTATCTGGGTAAGAAAATTAAGTTCTTAGTAGCATAATATCTCCATTTAAAAATCAATTGAAGAGGCCGGGGATATAGCTCAGTGGTGCAGCGCCTGCCTGGCAAATGCAAGGTTGTGAGTTCAATTCCCAGTACCAAAAAAAAAAGAAGGAACTGAAGAACCGGGTATGGTGGCACAAGGCTGTGATTCTAGCACTCCAGAGTCAGGACTGCAAATTCAAACCCAGGCTAAGCCATTTAGTAAGATCTTGTCTCTCAAAAAAAAAGCCTGGGCGTGATGGTGCACACCTACAATCCCACCACCTAGGAGGCTGAGGCAAGAAGATCAGTGAGTTCAAGGCCAGCCTGAGCTACATAGTAGGAACCCAAGTTTAAAAAAAAAAAAAAAAAAAACAAAAACAGCAGGTGTGGTGACTCACATCTGTAATTCCAGCCCTGGGAGGAGGAGGCAAGACTATCTGGAAGGAGGAGTTCAGTGAGCTTAAGGCCAGCCTGAACTACACAGTGAGATTCCCTTCTATCTCAAAAAAAAAACAACAAACAGGGGCTTGGGAATTTGGCTCAGTGGTAGAATGCTTGCCTAGCAAGCTGGAAGCCTGGGTTCAGTCCTTGGCACCGAAAACAAAAAATAAACCTCCCTGAAAAAACAATTCAACCAAAAAAATATAGGAAAATCAAAAAAACAAAAAATAGGCTAGCTAGGGATATAGCTCAACATAATATTACAAAGATAATGATGAAGGAAGAGGAGGAGGAAGAGAAGGTCAAGGAGGAGGAGCAGGAGGAGGAGAAGGAAGAAAAGGAGAAGGAGGAGAAGGAGGAGGAGAAGGAGGAGGAGAAGGAGGAGAAGGAGAAGGAAAAGAAGAAAATAAAAAACTGAGGAAGCCATGATGGTACAAGCTTATAATCCCAGCAGCTAGGAAGCTGATGAAGCACATCACAAGGCCAGTCTGGACTGCTGCAGTGAGTTCAAGGCCATCTTGGTCTGCACAGTGAAACCTGTCTCAAGAAAGGGGTGGAGGGGAGGTGGGAAAGAGAATAAAGCACTATTGTAAAAAAAAAGGGCAACAATTGCCAGGTAGGATAGCATGTGGCCAAACTTCCAAAACTTGGGAAGCTGAGGCAGGAGGTCACGATGAGCTTGAGGGTAGCCAGGACTACATAGGGATTCAAGGCCAGTCTGGAATCCATAGCAAAACCATGTCTCAAGTAAGTAAATAAAAGAGCAACAAGTCAGGCACAGTGGCACATGCATGCAACTCCAACCATTCAAGAGGCTAAGGCAGGAGGATCTCTAGGGTTCAAGGAGGGCCTGTAAAAAGTATCATGAGAAGGTATAATGAGACTGGTTTCAAAAAGAAAAAGGAAAAAGGGCAAAAGAGGATCTTCGTGATGTTAAAACTGTTCAATATGGGGGGCAATGGGACTCAAACTTGGGACTCTCCCTTGCCAGACAGGCACTGTGCCACTGAGCTAATGCCACTAAGCTGTGCCGCTGCCCTGACCCCTCTCCCATTTTTGTAGACTCAGATTTTGGCAAAGCATACACTAGAAATATGATATATTGTATCACGAGAAATGATATATTGTATTACAGGATACATTGACTCCATAACTCTGGCTGGCCTGAATCCTCCTGCCTCAGCCTCCTGAGTGCTAGGATTATACGCATATAGGACCACACCTGGCTAGTCAATATATCTTCACTTAGATGATAGAAATACAAATTTACACTAGTGATACAACTGCAAAAAACTTTGCTGGGGTGATGATGGTCCAAACCTGTAACCTCAGCCCACAGTAGGCTGAGGCAGGAGGATCACCATGAATTTTAGGCCAGCCTAGGCTTACACAGTGAGTCCAAGGCTAGCTAGAACTATACAGCAAGACTCTGTTTTAAAAAAAATCCTGCAAAGAACTTAATATACAAACACACAAAAATAAAAATACAAGTAAAACTGTAGAGATCTGAGTAAGAGGAATAAATTGTATCAATGTCAATATTCCAGCTGTAATACTCTACTCTATACCCAAATAGTAATAGAGCAAGTTTTCAGGTGGCTGCCACCACCACAGGCATGTTTAAGCACTGGAGTTCACCAAACACTGCTTCATCTGGATTTTTCCATGTGTCCTCAAAACCAATAACATTAAATTGCAAAATAACATTAATTTCTATTTAAAGTCCATTCCCAAAATAACTAGGCATTTCAATTACAGCTGACCCCTGAATAACTCAAAAGTTACAGCACTGACTCACACAAGTTGAAAATGTAGAGAGCATTTCTGGCTCTTCAAAACACAGGTCAGCTCATTGCCAGTTAAACAGAAGACCCAATGCTATTATGGGCTACTGGACTCTTTTAGAATATTTTGCTGAGTTTACACACCTATAATATTCAATAACGGAACTTAGAAAAAATGGGGTATACCGATGAATGTCCATTTTGTATCTGTGTATTCAAAGTGGTTGGGATAGATATATAGTTGCATTCTCTTAATGAATAGAATGATTTGTTCTAATGGTGTTTGTAAATAGGATCACAAGTCCGCATCTTGTACAGCAATTAACCACTAAGAAGAATATATGCAGTGTATTATTTGTTGAAACTGTACTTCTGATTTGATTTGAAACTGTCTCATTGCTATCTGTTTATCAATAAAACTTTGAAAAAAAAATAAAAAAATTCAAATAATGGAACATAACCAAAAAAGGGGATACAGATGAATGTCCATTTTGTATCTGTGTATTCAAAGTGGTTAGGATAGATATATAGTTACATTCTCTTAATGAATAGAGTGATTTGTTCTAATGGTGTTAGGATATCATGTCCGCATCTTGTACAGCAATTAACCAGTAGGAAGAATGTATGCAATGTGTTAATTATTGAAACTGTCCTACCAATTTGATTTGAAACTGTCTCATTGCTATTTGTTTATCAATAAAATTATGGGAAATAAATAAGAAAAAAAACACAAGTCAGCTATGAAATTATTACATTAAATTAATTTTATGGTTATGCTTTAATATTGCACCTTCGCATTTATGGTTCTCTCCATGTATGACACCATGTGCAGAAGTTTTGGCAAACTTTAACTTTCTAGGGTTGCACTGCCAAGACAAGCACAAATTTTAAGTTTTGTTTGTTTTTTCTTTTAAAGACAGTATTTGCAGTTCAGGCTGGTCTTGAACTAGTCAAGTAAGCCAGGTAGGCCTCAAATACACTTTGATCCTTCTGCCTTGGGCTCTAGAATGCTGGGATGACAGGTGTACACCACTACATCCAGGCTTTAATTTTTACTATAGATCTGTATTTTATGGTAGTAAATGATAAAATAAGACTATCATCTACACATATTTTATGTACTCATGACGTAGGTACTGTATCCTCAATGATTTTGATATTTCTATACAGAGTTCATCAGAGTTCTTTCAAATTATTACAAATAAAAAAAAAAACCAGACAAAGTTCAGACCTATGTATTTTAAAAGTCAACTGTATTTCTACCAAATCATAGATGACAAGATGTCTTGCTACAGAACAAAGGTTCTGGCAACCCTTTCTATTTGCGAAAGATTCTCAGCACAGCCCTAGCGGGACCAGAGGAAGCAGATACTTACCAAACCACGCATCTATGTTTTCTGCGTCTTCCTCATAATCCAAGGATGCAAAATTAATGAAGTACGAGGGAGCATCAAAGGAGTAAGAGTTTTTAATGTGCGACATTGTCCTACCCTTCGCATGGAAGAGCAGGATTTTCCCAGTATTTGTGTCACGTTTCTCAACAGGTCAGTTTCTGAGGAGAAAAATGGTTCAGAAATTTGGTTCACATGAATCAAAGGTACTGACTGATTCCTACTCTAGTTTTACTATCATATTTGCAATTTAGAAAATTATCTGGACAATATGCTTTTTCAAATCAACCTAAAATTTAGGGATTTTTTTTCATTTGTTTTGGTAACTTGAAAACACTCTTTGAAGTAAACATATTTGGACAGAAAGTTTAATGAGTGCTTACAATGCCAGGTACTGTGCTCAGTGTTTTACATCCATTATTTTAATATTTTCCCTCACTACCATTTTCTTACCTCTAGAGTGCCTCTGCCCTGCATAACCTCATTTCTGAAACATACTGACTTTTATGCGTAAACAAACATTCAATGTCCAAATTTCTATGAATTCTGTCCCAATTTCTACCTATCACACATATTTCTTGTGTTTCTAAAGCCACAGAGCTCTGTTTATGTTTTTGCTATAACTTACCATCCAATTGTACATTTAGGAACTGAAGTTCTTGAAAACAATACATTTGATCTGTACACCCTTCATCTGTCAAGGCACTTAACATAGTACCTTATACAAACTACCTGCTAAAAGAGGTGTGGCGGCTGGTGCGTGCCTATAACCCCAGCACTCGGGAGGCAGGAGGAACGCTGCAAGTTTGCGACCAACCTGGGCTACAAAGTGAGCTCAAGGCCAGCCTGATCTACATAGTAACACCCTTTAGCAAGACCAAAAATAAATAAATATAGTCCATGATATAGTTCTTCAAGTACAGACTTGTTTTCATTTGAGGCAGTGTCTTGCTGCAAAGCTCAGGCTGCCTTGAGCTCACTGTGCAGCACTCCTGCCTAAGCCTCCCGAGCACTGGGATTCTAGGCGTGCACCACCCTGCCACACAACACAGCTTCTTTCCTTAGAAACACTTCTCCTGGACTGGGGAATACAGCTCAATGCTAGAGCACACGCTTAGGTCTGGAGGGTTCAATTCTTGGTCCTGCCCACCAAAAATGAGAAAAAAAATAAATACCGTTAAGAAAATGACTTTACAATACACATCAAATGTATACTATGCAGAACAACTAAAGGTAATAAGTCAAAGATATGAGCCCACTTCCACCCCTGCATATAATGTGCTATACTCTATCAGATGGAAACCTCTATAGGTTTTAAATCAGCCTCCACTCCAGATATATCTAGCTAATAAAATAGCTGGAAGTAGTCTGAAAAACCAGCCTAATGGCAAATAATCTGGCGATGAAACTCAATGAGCCATTTGTTTTTATGCAGAGAACAGGGTGTGCATAAAAGTATTTTGAATCTTGGAAGGGAAGCCAATACCTGTTGTCATTTGCATAAACTTTCGTTTTTTGGTACGGTGATCAAGCTCAGGACTTCACACTTGCCAGGCAGGTGCTTATGCCAATGAGTCAGCTACTCAGCCCTAACATTTTTTATGTTAATGAGTTTCTTTAAACTTTTATTTCATTATAAAAATGCATCCTTTTTTAAAAGGTAACTAAAAAGCTTTTATAAAAATAAGGAGTTAAAAATTATTATAATCTATAGCTCCAGATTACCCAGACTTTACTCTCATATAAACAATTTCACTTTTCATCTGCTTTGCCCTTCTGGAGCTGCGGATCCAGCCCAGGACCTCATGCATGCCAGGCCGGCGCTCAACCCTCAAGCTGCACCCCCAGCCCTATTAGCTCACATTTTATAAACACATAGACTTTCATTTCTCCTTTGTGCAGTTCTGGGGTTGATACAGGGTATTGTGTTTACTAGGCAACTGCTCTCTCAGTAAACATTAGCCCAGATCACTCATATTTTAATTTTGTATATTAAAAGCATTTATGCCAATAACTATAGGCATAAAATTAAAAGTGTATCATAATTATTTATCCTGCATTTTTATTTTCCATGTTTTCACTTCTAAAATACTTCTAGAAAAGTTTTTGTCAATAAATTTCTGTACACATTCATAATTTTTCCCTTCAGATGCTGTAAATCCTAAGAGGCTGAGTTGCTGGGTCAGAGGCTCTTAATTGAAAATGTCCCTCAGAAGCAGGACACCACTGACACTGCCAGCGCAGCACGCCAGCCCCCAGCCCTCCATGTGCACTAACGGCCTGCAGACATGTCTTCTCTGCCGTACCACTGCACTCCTGAACATGGCATGAGATCGGCCCCAGCCCCTGCCCCTGCCCCCATTCAGCAGAAGGTTGGCCTTTCCTGGTGACCTAGACTAGTCAGCCAGTGCTTCTGGGCCTTACAGCATCCCTGGATCTGGGAATGTGGTTTTGTTGTAGTTTTATGTCTTCTACTATTCCCGTCTATAGTGCATAATGCACCTTAATTCCTGTTTTATTCTTTTCCCTCCTTCCACACCTCCACCCATCTTTATTCCCTTTTCCTGCCATGTTTGCAGTGCACGATGTTTGCATTCCCTGTGTGGAGCTGGTGGTGTACACAGCACATTTAACTCCTTTTTCTACCCTTTCCCTCCCTCTCCCCCACATCTTAACAATACATGTTATAAGTGACCCTGGTCTATACACATGAGAGTGACTTCCCATGGTCTCATCTCGCCTATGCATGCAGGGTGGCTGGAATCCCACTGTAGAACAGTCCATCAGTGTTCTGAGGTCATCAGTTTAGCAACGTGAAGTTTCAGAATTGAGAGGAATCTCTGATAACTTCTGTAGTTTATAGGTAAAGATTAAGTAAGGCAAAAAGGGGTCTCCTGAGATCACAGTTCATGGTTTAAAAGTTACCAGTAGTGATCATGATATGCCAAGTACTGTTGAGTATTAAATCCATATTATTTCTAAACTTTTGTGAACCTTTCTAAGGTTCACAAAAATCTTGCAAAGGAGCAATTCTCCTCAGAAAAGTTCAAAGTTGCCTAATACCAGTTATGTAAAGACAGAGCTTGACCTAGAACAGACTTCAGACAATGCTCTTTCCATAATCTTGTGTTCTTACTTCACAAATTAGAAGTAGAGTACAACAGTTCTCTTTTCACTCACTTTATTTCCCAAGTTGATCCACTCTCCATAGTCCTTTGACCTAAAATGAGGGCTTTTCTAGTATCCCCATTCTCAATCTTTTAAGGCCAGCCAGAACTACATAGCAAGACCTTGTCCCAGAAAAAAAATCAATTCAAAATTGATCAGCCAGAGCAGGGTATGGTGGAGCATGCCTGTAATCCCAGTAATCAGGAGGTAGAGCAGGGGCAGGAGGATCTTTCAGTGTTCGACCAGCCTGGGCTACAAAGTGAGCTTAAGACCAGCCTGACCAGCATAGTAGACCCTGTATCAAAAAGACAAAAACAAAAACAAAAGAGGATCAGCCAGGCATGGTGGCTCACGCCTATAATCCCTACACTCCCAGGCTGAGGCAAGACTGCTCCAAATTCAAGGCCAGCCCAGGTTACAAAGTAAAGTTCAAGGCCAGCATGAACTACATTGTAAGATCCTGTCCCATATTAAAAAAAAAAAAAAGTACTCAAAGATTAAGACTCAAAAAGTTTGAAACTGCTAAAAGAAAATACAAGAGAAACTCTTAAAAATTCTTCTTGAATAGAACTCCAATAGCACAGAATATAACAGTAAATATCAACAAATAGACTAGATCAAATTAAAGTTTTTGTACAGCAAGAGAAACAAGAAGACTGAAGAGATAGCCTATAGGAGAAAATCCTTATGAACTATTCTCTGACAGAAGATTAATATATGGAATATACAAAGAACTCAAAGCTTAACAAAATAACTCAAATTGTGCTATCACAAAAATGGGTCAATGAATTGATCATGCACTTGTCAAAAGAAGTACAAACAGTCAATAAAGTACATGGAAAAGAATGTTCAACATCTCTAGCCACTAGAGAAATGCAAGTCAAGCTGAGAGCTGGGGCTATGAAGCTCAGTGGCGAGCACCTGCCTTGCATGCAGGAGGCCCTAGGTTCAACTGCCAGCACCATACCACACACCCACCTACCTACACACACACATACACACAAAATACCACACTGAGATTCCACATCACCCCAGTCAGAATAGCTGTTGGCAAGAGTACAAAACACAGTAAACTATGAAAAGGATATAGGGGAAAAAGGAACTCTTTCACAGTGCTAGAAGGAATAAGTGTCAAGGCAGTTGCTATGGAAATCAATATGGAGGAAACTACCACTAAAGCTACTATTTGCTGCAGCTACATTGCTCCTTGGTATATACTAACCCAATTAAAGTCAGAATAATGGGGCCGGGGAGATGGCTCAGTGGAGTAAGCGCTTCCCTGGCAAGTGCAAGGGCCTGAGTTCAATCCCCAAATAAATAAAGTCAGAATACTACAAGGATATAGGGATGCACATATTGTCCCACAATATACAAAAACTAAGACAGAGAATCCAGCCTAGGTAACTATCAGATAAATGGACAAAGAAAATGTGCTGGTTGTGGTGGCACACACCTGTGGTCCCAGCACTCAGGAGATCACCAGGAGTTCAAAGCCTGACCTGCACAGCAGGACCCTGTCTTAAAAATCAAAAAGAAAAAGAAAATGTAGCATATATGCACAACTGAGTACTACTCAGCCATCTAACAACATGAGACTGCATCATTTGCAAAACAACAGATAGCTCTGGAGACCATCATACTGAGCGTAAACCAGACTTAAAGACACAAGAGCTCATATTTTCCCTAATACATGGAATCTAAAAAAGATGACAAGAAAGTAGAAGGGAAGAACTGTATTCTGCCAACAACTTCATAAGCATAAAAGACCGTCCCAAGCTCCAGAAAAGAATGTAGTGCAGTTGGCATTAGGGCTACAATCTTCTAAGGACCCAAGAAAGGACCCAGATAAGGCATGCCATGATTCTTGATACAAAACTGTAAAGTAATAAATGAGTGTTGTTGAAACTTCAGGAAAAAAAAAAAAAAAAAAAAAAGTCATATACAAAATAGGTATGTAAGCCGGGGATTGAACTCAGGCCCTTGAGCTTGCCAG